CAGTCTCCGAGGCACCACGGTCAAAAATCGGCTCCTGGACCTGTCCCAGGGTGCGTGTTGGCCAGAGCTTCGAGGCGGATCCAGCCGTGGTCACGAGAAGCGTCCTGGAGGAATGGAGGGGTTCCAAGACGTCCAGGAAGTGCGAGCCTCGAGCCTCGACCCTCGTGCCTCGTGCGACGCCCAGCGGTGCGAGGCGGGCCGACACAGCGGCCGGCAGGGCCCGTGGGCGGGCACGGCGGCCCGTCGAAGAGGCCGCGGGCGCGCCAGGAAAGGCCGCCCGGGGAGCTGCCGAGGCGCTGCTCCCACGAGCTCGGGAAAAGCGCTGCGCAGGAGCTGCGCAGGGCGCCGGGCGTGAGCCCGCTCCGGGCCACGGCCCCCGCGCCTCTCGGGCAGACCTCGAGGCGCGCGGCCCCTGGCCATCCCCGGTCTCCGGGGGCCCCTCTCGGGCTCCGCGCCTCGCTGCGTCAGTCAGGAGGGAACACACACACACACAGACACAACTTATCGCCGATTCCCAGGAAAAATATGGGAGAATATGGGAAGTGGAGGGGAAGACGAGACTCCAGAGCGTATAGAAAAGATGGGCCATCCTGGGATCTGTGCCTGCGTACTTGTGTGTCCCTGGGCCTCTTTAGTCAAGCTGGCCCCAGGGGAAGGTGTGCACCTGGGTCATCCGTCACCGAAAATTTCCAGCAACGCTCAACGGAGTGCGACCGACCGAAACTCGGGCTCCGGGTCATGAATACCCGTCACGAGCGAGCTGTCGACAAGTTCGAACCCCTCGCATGGACCCCCGACTCGCCGTCTCTTCGTCAACGAAGTGAGACCCCCTCCGGCCGCGACGGAAATTTGTCGCGGCCGACATCGACTTGTTGCAGCTGAAGTTGCAGCAGCTGGCCGGCAATCGAGAATTCTACATGGCAGCCTCTTGGCCTCCTCATGGCAGCATCGCCGCTACACCTCGCAGGGAATTCACACCCACGCCTTAGCATGTATGCATCGCTCTTGCTGGGGAAACCCGTGTGGTGAACCCAGTGTCTGCACACGTAGGCTCCCGATCGAGGTCGCGTGTCATTATCTTCCACACGCGCACGTATACACCAGTGTTTGGACGGGGCCAGGACGAGGATAAAGCCGCTCCATAGCGTTCCAGAACGCTTTCAGAGCGTTCCGGAACGCTCTGAGAGTGCCGCAGCGTTTTATACATCTTCCAGAGCCGCCGGATCTGAGATATTCTTGATTTACCCTCATGCGATTTGATCATCGCCCTGGCTTCGTCTCATTTGCATGCACACTCAATCTAGATCGTCGGCGTAACGAGCTGTTCGGGATGGTGTTTCGAAGGGTCCCCAAGCAGGAGAAGCGGGGGCGCAACCACCCCCCAACCAGCCACGCCCCGAACACCCTCCCCAAGCGACATGTGCTCGCAAAATTGCTTCCGACCGACGCAACCACAGGTTCTGAGTATCTCACGCAATGTGCTGCTGGAGCGTGGCATGTGTTTGTAAAATTGCTTCCGACTGAGTACCCCTCCGACCCTGATGTCCCTATGTTGCTTGAGCGTGGCATGTATTCGCAAAATCGCTTCCGACCGAAGCAGCAGATCCTGACTGCCTCACTCACTGTGCACCTCCCATCCTGATGCCCCTATGCTGTTGGAGCGTGGCATGTAATCGCAAAACCACTTCCGACTGAGTGTGCCTCCCACCCTGATGCCCTATGTTGTCGGAGCGTGGCACGTATTCTCAAAATCGCTTTTGACCGAGTGCGCTTCCTTCCCTGATGCCCCTATGTTTTCGGAGCGTGGTACGCATTCGCAGAATCGTTTCTGACCGAGTGCACCACCCACATTTATGCCCATATGCTGTTGGAGCATGGCATCTGTTCGAAAATCCGCTTCCGACCGAAGCAGCAGGTCCTGAATGCCTCACGCAATGTGCACCTTTGATGCCCCTATGCTGTTGGAGCGTGGCATGTATTCGCAAAATCGCTCCCGACAAAGTGCGCCTCCCACCTTGATGCCCCTATGCTGTCGGAGCGTGGCATGTATTCGCAAAATCGCGTCCGACCGAGTGCGCCTCCCACCTTGATGCCCCTATGTTGTCGGAGCGTTGCATGTATTCGCAAAATCGCTTCCGACCGAGTGCACCTCCGACCTTGATGCCCATTGACTGTTGGAGCGTGGCATGTATTCTTAAAATCGTTTCCGACCGAGTGCGCCTCCCACCTTGATGCCCCTATGCTGCTAGAGCGTGACATGGATTCGCAAAATCGCTTCCGACCGAAGCAGCAGGTCCTGAATGCCTCACCTCCCATCCTGATGCCCATATGTTGTTGGAGCGTGGCATGTATTCGCACAATCGCGTCCGACCGAACTCGCCTCCGACTTTGATGCCCCTATGTTGCTGGAGCGTGGCATGTATTCGCAAAGTCGCTTCCGACCGAGTGTGCCTCCCACCCTGATGCCCTATGCTGTCCGAGCGGGGCATGTCTTCGCAAAGCCGCTTCTGTCCGTGTGCGCCTCCCAACTTTGATGCCCCTAGGTTGCTAGAGCGTAGCATGGATTCGCAAAATTGTTTCCGACCGAGTGCGCCTCCAAATTTTGATGCCCCATATGCGGTTGGAGCGTGGCATGTATTCGCAAAATTGTTTCCGACCGAGTGCGCCTCCCACCTTGATGCCCTTATGCTGCTTGAGCGTGGCATGTATTCGCACAATCGCGTCCGACCGAAGCAGCAGGTCCAGAATGCCTCACTCACTGTGCACCTCCCATCCTGATGCCCCTATGCTGTCGGAGCGTGGCACGGATTCGCAAAGTCGCTTCCGACAAGAAACACCTCCCACCTTGATTGCCCCTATGCTGTTGGAGCGTGGCACTTGTTTGTGAAATCGCTTCCGACCGAGTGCGCCTCGAACTTTGATGCCCCCATGTTGTTGGAGCGTCGCATGTATTCGCAAAGCCGCTTCCGACTAAAGCAGCAGGTTCTGAATACCTCACGCCATGTGCACCTCCCACATTTATGCCCACATGTTGTTGGAGCGTGGCATGTATTCGCACAATCGCGTCCGACCGAGCGCGCTTCCGACTTTGATGCCCCTGTGTTGCTGGAGCGAGGCATGTATTTGCAACAACGTTTACGACCGAGTGTGCCTCCCATTTTGATGCCCCTATGCTTTTGGGGCGTGGCATGTATTCGTAACATCGTTTCCGATCGAGTGCACATCCCACCCTGATGCCCATTGACTGTTGGAGCGTGGATGTATTCGCAAAATCGCTTCCGACGGAATCAACACTTTCTCAATGCCTCACGCAATGTGCGTTTCCCACCTTGATGCCTCTATCCTGTTAGACAGTGGCTGGCATGCATCCGGAAAGTCGCTTCCGACCGGGTGCGCCTTGCGCCTTTATGCCCCTATGTTGTTGAAGCGTGGCATGTATTAGCAAAATCGCTTCCGACCAATTGCGCCTCCCACCCTTCTGCCCTTATGCTGTCGGAGCGTGGCATGCATTCGCAAAATCGCTTACGACCGAAGCAGCAGGTTCTGAATGCCTCACGCACTGTGCACCTCCCACCCAGATGCCCCTATTCCGTTCGAGGGCTAGGTGCGTCCAGAGGCAAGAGAATGCGTGAGTTTCTCGCAGGTTTTGCACTTCCGATCCTCGATATGCCAGCGTTTTCGAAGTTGTGCTTCGTCCTGGAATGCTCTGTTTAGTCCTCCTTTCATTCCTGCCGTCTCTTCCTCCCAGCGCTCTTTCTCATTTCTACAGTTTACATGTGGCCATCCCACCGACCCTTCCCCCCATCATGCGCAGACTCTAGCGAACAAAGAAGTGCGTGATCATGCAAGCAATCAGTCAATTGACAGTTTCTAAAAGATCACGCAAACGCATGCAATCATACCCGTCATCAACCAGTAACGTGATCAAACGATCAGGAAGTATTTGAAACAATAAGCAAGCAAACATCCGAGTGCATAATGCATAGTCGTAGAGATAAGCAAGCAAACCAGCAGGCAATGAGCCAATCATGACGTCATGGAAGGACATGAGCACGCCAGCCTCCATGCATCCATGAGGTATGCAAGTGCGCTCTCGATCAAGTACCACGCGTGCAAGCAAACCCATCATGGAGGCATCCGATCGCGAGCGAGCTCCCACACAGGCAAGAAAATATCCAGTCGTACAAGCACAGAGTCGAGCAATCATGTAATCAGGCATGGAAGCGTGCAGGTGGGCAAGCAAGTCATCGATCGCTCGAACAAGCAGGCATGCATGCAGGCAGGCAGGCGCACGAACCAGCCATTGAAGTTAGCCACAGGAAGCGGTCACATAAGCTGGCCGCATGAACGGGCCACAATAGTCAGCCGTAAGCCCGAGGATCTTGCCAAAAGTCCTCGGAGCTGCACCAGAACCACCCCATCTACCAGGCAGGTTCACATGGGGTACTATGGCAAAGTATCCAGAACGCTACACTTAGGCATGTCCACAGACATAAGCATTGGCATAGGCGTTGCGCGCGACTCATCAGAGGCATAGGCAAAGGGCATCGAGCACAGGCACTTACATGTCACAGCGGTGGCCAAGGGATCCACCTGCAGGATCCACCTCGCGCGCGGCCAGAGTATCCACGCCGCATCCCTGGCCGCCGCCGTGCATCAATACACAAGGCGTTTCTCGAACATTGAGCCACAAAGAGGGAGCTCCACCGAAGGCCCCAGCGGGAGCGTCCGCGGGAGCGTCCACATGGCATTGCCGCCCCATTTTGGCACACCCCTCACACGCTTCGTGGCCCATGAGGGAGCTCCACACAAGGCCCCAGTGGGGGCGTCCGCATGGCACCGCTGCCCCATTTCGGCGCACCCCTCACACGGTTCGTGGCCCCAGAGGGAGCTCCACCCAAGGCCCCAGCGGGAGCGTCCGCATGGCACGGGCCGCGCACGGGGCTCGGGCGAAAACCAAGAAGACTCTCCGCTCTCCCGCGTCATCTTTTCTCCACCTCATGCACGCCGCAGTCCTTTTTGCTGCCTCCCTTCATTCATCTCCTCTCCCTCGCGGTACTCGCAGCAGCATATGTTTGGGTCCTTGGTCAGGCTAACCCTTTCCGAGGCCTGTATCTCTCCCTCCTCCGGAAGCCGAACCTCGCATCTTGGCTCTCTCCGACGTGCAAGCCCCTCCGCAAGGTCTACAAGGACCAGGCGAAGCACGGCGGCAAGCTCAAGGACGTGACGCTGCAGAAGTTCAGGCGGCAGATCGACGTGCTCAACGAGCTGATGGAGCCGCTGACGCCGCCTGCCGACAAGACACTGTGGCACCCAACCCTCGAGAAGGCTCGTAGGCGGGAAGCAGACTCCCCCAAAAAAACGCTATAAACATAAACTTCTGGGGCTCCGCCAGGTTTTCTTGGATCCTCGCTGGGCCCCCCCGGCGGCTCCTCCGGCGCCGCTCCTTGCGCGGATCCCCAAAAACAGCGCGGAGCTCCAACTTTCTCTGTTTTTCATACTTTCAGGTTTATGTGTATGCCCTTTTCGTTTTGTGTCGTGTTTATGTTCATGCCTTGTTCAGTTTCTTTTTTCTGCTGTGCGTTTCACTTTTTTCTGCCTTTTTCTTTATCTGCTGTTGCTCCCTCTTCCGATATTTGCAGGTTCGTGCAGTCTCGACGCGACGGCGACCCCAGCGCGGGCGTCCAAGGTGGAGCCCCGCCAGTGGCCCCTCATCGGCCGACGTCGGACGATGTGCGCCATCCGGGGAACCGCGATCGTTCGAGGCCGAACCCGCGAGGTGATCAGAGAACCAAGCGCCCGGGTCGTCAGGACACCGGCCTTCCTTCATCCATCGTACAAGTTTCGTGGTCTGGACTCCTCGGCCGCGAGACTGAGGAGCGACGATGCCCCGTGCTGAAGTTCATCACGGGGCATCGCCATGGTTTCGTGGATCTTGGAGACGTTCAGCGGCTGAACGCCTCCAACGGCAGGCCGAGTATCCATGGAACCGCGTGCTTGTATCCAGGCCTCAAGGTTATGATTTGGTCGCCCGTGTGAGGCGACGGGTTAAGGGGATCCTGACCCTTCGAGTACGACCATATTCTGCATCGCGGTTCGCACACTGTCCTCCGTTCAATAGAGGACATGATTTGTGTGTCGGAGGGCTCCGATCGAAAGAAGGGTCGCGGGCTTTTGGGGAGGACAGGGCCGAGTCGAGCGACAGTCGATCTCCTCCTCCTCCTCCTCGTCCTCCTCCTCCCCCTCCTCCTCCTCATCCTCACCCTTCCCCTCCTCCTCCTCCTCCTCCTCCTCCTCCTCCTCCTTTTCCTCCTCCTGCTCCTCCTCCCTCTCCTCCTCCCTCTCCTCCTCCTCATCCTCCTCCTCCTCCTCGCCCCCTGCTCCTCGCTCCTCCCCTGGGGTGGGGGGATGCTTGGAGGGGGCTTGGGGTGGGGGAGGGCTACGATCCCCCCCCAGTCTGCCGCTCCTCTTCCCCCCGTCGCGCTCTCCTCACAGCATCCCCGCTCTTCCTCCCCATCCCCCCCCAGACGTCAGAAGGGGGGGGGGGGGGGGGCAGAAGGAGAGCGTTCTTCAGCTCCTCCCCCCCCCCATTCCTATTTTTCCCTCCACGCTCCCGACGCACTACAGGAGGGGGAAAACACACACACACAGACACACAGAAGCGTCGCGTCCCAGGAAAACCAAAATCACATGTGGGAAGTGGAGGGGGAAGACAGAGCTTCAGAAATCAGGGGGAAATCTGCAACATCCTGGGAGTTGTGTCTGCTTGTGTGTGCGTGCGCGTGTCCCCGGACCGCGTATTCTAAGTGCTCCCCTTCCCCTTCCCCTCCCCCCCGAGCCGGCCAGGGCGCGCCTCCCCAGGTGAAGCCCCAGAGGATATTCATGCAGCTGCTCGACTACTCCAAGACCGCCAACGGGCAGCCAGGCCGGGGCTCACCTCGACTCCGCCGATCTCGGCTCGGCCCCCCGACTCCGCTTCCGCTTCGACCTCGGAGTCCGATGTGGCCTCCGACTTCTCCGTGGCGGCCCTGTGGGCCTGCCGATCCCCGGCGATCTGTCTGTTGCCTCCCGGCTCGGCTGCCGAGCTCCGCCGATCCGGCCTATCGGTTCGGTGCCGTGCTCGCCTGCAGGTCCGGACGTCTCGGACGGCATGCTCTACGTGGTGACTGAGCTGGCACAGTACAGTCTGAAGGATTTCCTCTCCCAGAGGCGCGAGACGAAGAACCCGCTCTCTGCAGAGGAGGTCAAAAACGTGGCCAAGGCGATCGTCATCGCCATGGCAGGCCTGCATGCCAAGGGCTTCGTTCATATCGATATGAAGCCGGAGAACATGATGATGTTCAATGGACGCTTGAAAGTAATCGATGTCGACGGCTGCGTCAGGGCGGGGACCAAGATCTCCATCCAAGACTCCTCGATCTCGTTCTCTCCGTGCTACTGCTCCCCAGAGTGGGCCAAGTTTCTGATCAAGGACAACCAGCCACTGATCGTGGCGAGTCCAGCGCTGGATGTCTGGAGTGTTGGCATGACGCTGTGCGAGCTGGTTTCGATGGACGCTATTCTGAAGCCGCAGTACGCCAACTTCTTGCGAAACGCATCCTCCCACCGAGAGGCTGGCTTCATGTTCATGGAGTGGCTCAGCGGCGTGAAGAAGGCGCCCGTGCCGCGCAGCGTCGAGAGGTTCGACAAGGGTCTCTTCGAGATGATCACCCAGTGGCTGCTGATCAGCAACCAGGCCACTAGGAAGAGTTGCGCACAGTCGCTATCAAGCCCATACATAAGCTCCATCGGTGACTCGAGTGAGAAGGACGACAGCCACACCGCCATCAGCCAGACAGAGGCGCCTGTCCGCAGATTCCGGAATCGGCCCGAGGACTCCTCGACCGAGAAGCCGCTGTACAGGCGACCAGCCGGAAGCTTCACCCGACACGTAGCGCGGAATTTGATCATGTAAGCGTTGGCCGAAACGTCAGTCGATCTGCGCCATGCTTGGGGTGCAGTGTTTGGCGTTTCCTGGGAACGCGCCCGGTTCGGCCAGATTCGGGGCCCCGAGGGCCCCCAAACTTTTGTGTTCCCCGCTCTCGCAGCTCCGAGCGACACTGGCGTCGAGCGTCTATTCTGGCGCGCCTGTTTTCCTCACCGTTCCCGGCTCTCCTCGAAAGCCAAATTCAGTTTGGCTGATGCTCTTTGATTTTCTTGCACAGCTGTGTTCTAGAGCTTGAAGCCCTGCATGTGTGTCCCTGTCGTCCTTCGCCCCCCCTCCCCTGGCCCACCGCTTGCCCTCGCCGCAGCCCCCTCGCTACGTGATTGTGCAAGACCCAGGTCACGCGTGCCACCAGTTTTTTTTGGCGCTGGTGGATGCTCCCACCCGCCCGCTCAGGGGCACCCTCTGGAAGCTCAACACCAACGGCGACCCCAAGGACGAGAACCTGTGGATCAAGCGCGACATGTGGATCGCCGCGAACCACAGCCTGTGTTACTTCAGCGTGAAGGAGAACAAGCGCCTGGTCCTCATCGACGGCATGAAGCTGACCACCGGCACGGTGCAGATGGCGAGCGGGTTCGCCAAGCCCTTCGCGTTCGAGGTGACCACGAAATCTGACGCAGAGGATACCGAGATGGACGTTTACCGATTGGCGGCCGAGTCGGAGGAGTCACTCGGCGTCTGGACGAAGACGCTCAAGAACGCTTCCCAGACGGACATGGTCGTTAGCATGAAGCTCGGCGCCCAGATGGCCAAGGACATCGAGGCTTACAAGATGACGGTGAAGAACCGCAGAATGAAGGTAGACGAGGGGGAAGCCCAGGAGCAGTACGAGCCCCTCTTCAAGGGAAAGCTGAGGAAGTTGAAGACGGAGGGCGACCGTCAGAAGAAGGAGGACTGGTTCGAGCGCGAGATGTGGATAGCAAAGAATGGTTGCTTAATGTATTACAGCCCCAAGGAGGAGCGCGAGCTCATTTATTACACGCAGTCGGACGTGGCCAGAGCGAAAGTGGAGAAGATCAATGAGGGGGAGGCCTGTCATAGCCACTGTTTCCGAGTGATCCTGCCCCCCGCCAACAACGTGGAGTTCACGCCTGGCGAATTTTCCGCGGATTCTGAGGGCATCCGGCAACAATGGCTGGAGCAGCTGGCAAAGTTCCGTGCCTAGAAGAAGAACCTTCTTCTCGAGTCGCAGTCCAGCGCCTCAGCGTCCCCCCAGAGCCTCAGGGCCATCGCGAGGCGGCTACCTTTGTCGGGAGCTCTCCACTGAGTCGCAAGAGGTCGGCGGCGCGCTCAGGGCGGAAGTGAGAAGGGGCGGGCCTTCTCAGAAGGCTCGGAAGCCTCCTGGCCAGCTGAGAGGCTGTCTAAGCCTCCCCCGAAGATGTAGGAAGCCTCTCAGAAGGCGCGGGGGCTTCTGAGAAGCTCCGCCGCCTCACGAGAAGGCCTTCTCCTTCTCGGTTCCCCCCCTCGCTCGCGGCCGAATGGAGCTGCAAGAGGAGGCCTTGAACACGTTGGCCCCCAGCGGGTGAAGGACGGTGTACGTCAGAAGCGTTTCCGCAATTGGGTGCGCCGGTCCTTGGGCGATTGGTAAGTCTGTGACCTTGCGGCGGCACGTGGGGGTACACGAGGAGCGAATCACCGACCTTTAGAGTGCTCCCCCGAGGGCAGAACTCCATCCCGACCGCCCACATGTGTTCAATGCTTTACCCTTCAGCCTGATACTGGTGTTGAAATTAGCTGCTGGGGCACTGGCCCTGTACAGGCTGTCGCTGCCTGTGTCTTTCTCGAAATCTCGGACTGGCACCCGCATGGAACATCTGACTTGACTTCAGTGCAAAAAAGAACCTGCCTATCAGGTAACGCCAACGCTACCATAATTGCAACCAACATCAACGTAGAGACTGTTCGTGCACGGTTGCCGAGCGCTTCCAGGAGTTCATCAACCATTCCCAAGATGTTGTCAGGATGGTTTCCACAGTTTCTTTGCATGTTCTTCACAGCACTTTGTGTTCTCTGTGCAGCCGAATGAAGGACAGGCGTTGCCGTCGTCAGCCCAAGAACGCTGAGGTGATTTGGATAAGGGCAGTCGGTGAAGGCCTGTAAATGCATGCTCTGGCGGGGAAAGATCATTCATGAGTCTGTCTGTTGCAAACGTGGCCCGGAGCGTGTACTAATGTTATTTCCACCGATGGGGGCGGCCAAGAGGGTGGCGATGGCTACTGGAGGGGGTGGATACCATGGCCGGCGCCTCGACATCTACATGGAATTCACGGTCCTCCCTTCTTGTCTCAGCACGTCCCTGGGCCTTCCCCGGGCCACGCGCGCGCCTCGGGGCCGGGATCTGCGAGCCCTCCTGTGGGACGCCCACCCCTGTTGGACCCCCCCCCGCAATCTGTCCTATGACTCGTAATGTGCACTGTGCGTTTTGGGCGAGGCTGGAGCGGCAGGAGAGGCGTCGGAGGAGAAGCACCGAGGAGGAAGGGACCTTTCGAGCTACTCGCGCCGAGTCTCTGCACGCAGTGCGGGCGCCGCGCGAGGCGACGGGTCAAGGTCCCGGCCTCGCGCTGCCCTCAGTTTGGAGGGACAGCGATGCTGGGCGCTTTGAGGTACATGCGCCAGGTCATGGGTCCCACGTCCAAGAGGTTTGCAGGGGCCCCGTTCCCAGTCCATGTTTGTTTTCCCCGTCGGGCCTGTCTTGCGAAGAGGGATTGCGTCCGCAGAGGCTCCAGAGGTGACCGTTCGACCGCATCGGGCTCATTGTCAGCGTTTTGAAAGTGGCTTACGCCACATCGCCGATCCCCCAGGTTGGGCGTCTTGGGAGCATCTGCGGATCTTTCGGGGCTTCTTCAGGGCCACATTGAGGGCCTCTTGGGAGCCTCGTGGAGGCACTTGTTGGCTTCTTGGGGTTGCGTCGAGGGCCTCCTGGGGCCGATTGGTGTGATTTGGGGGGAGGGCTCGACATGTCAATTCGTTTTTTCCCTCTTGGGCCCCTGTTGAAGTCCCTCTTGGTGCTATTGTGGATTGGATAGTCTTGGGGGCCCATGGGTCCGTCTTGTGGCCGGGCCGTCTTGGGGCCCCCTTGGGAGCCTCTTGGAAGCCGTGTGGGCCGTCTTGGAACAATATTCGGGGCCCCTTGGGAGACGGAAGAGGCGTGTATGTCGAAACTGCACGTCGGGAAAAGGGACGATGCTTGCCTTTTGCAGCTCTATCGGCGGTCTTCTGGGAGCACTCTTGGGCCGTCTTTGGGGCCTCGTGGCCCGTCTTGCAGCCATCGTGGAATGTCGCAGGATTACCCTGGACCGTCGCTGCGCTCTCTTGGACTGTCTCGGCGCTCCGTTTGGCCCCGCTTGGGCAGTCTCGGGGCTCTTTGGAGGCTATGGGGAGCCGCCAGGGTGCGTTGACGAGTTCGTACCCGCCCCCACCCCCCGCACCTCCCCCTCTAATCTCTAATGCGATGTTTGGCCCGGGGGAAAAGTAAAGGGGAGGGGGACAGCCAATCATGTCACACGCCTTCTCGCCCCCTCCACCTGCAAGCGGGGGTCGGCGGCGCAACGGAAGCAGCAAGCGCCGTGCGCGAACCTCTTCTTGTAGCAACGGGGAAGAAGGCCAGGCTACCCGCCTGGGCCGACCTCGCCTGGTAGCCTTTAAGTCGGGCGCGTCCCTCTACAGGAGGAACATCCAAAAATAGTCAAACAACAGAATCAGAGGGACGACGTTTCGGTTATGTGTTAGACTTGTTGAAAACGTTTCTCGTCCAACACCCGCCTGTGGGGGGACACGCCCGACCTAGTGGTAGCCCCTGAACGGGCCTGCGGCTTGCTCGGCCTGCTGGAGCGCCCGCCCAGAGGCGGCCTGCTCACGGCGGAGGCGCACTGCCTCGCGCAGCTCTGGCGTGAGCTCCGCACGCTCGGTGTTCCGCAGGGTGTTCCGTGGGTGTTCTTCGGGCCTCTGCTGCCTCCCTCCTCCTCTCTGCCTAAGTCAAGCTTCGCGCGGCCCGCTCAGCTTCGACCGGAAGAGGCGCGCTCTCGACCCGCGGATCAAGCAAGTGTTCTTCGGGCCTCTCCGCGCATCCGGGCGCAGCCGGGGCCCACAGGGGGGGGGCTCCTCCGGCAGCGCAGCACGGGAGCCTTGCATGTCCTCGAAACTCCGCCTTCCAGAGTGCGCTCGCGGGCACCAGCGTCGACCGGTGAGCAAGCGCCGATGTAGCGTCGACGGCTGGCGTCGATTGGCGTCGGCCAGCATCGGTTCGCAAGAGCCAGCAAGGTGGCATGGGAGGCTCCCATGAGTTGCCACCGAAAGTTTAGCTCCTGATCCGAAGTTCCTCATGGCCAAACTTTGGTCGCGTCCGCTTTGGCTGATGAGATCACATCTGCACCCAGACCTGTGCGACCCCCGCATTTCTCCGCTTGGAAGTCCTGGGGGAGCTGTGGGAGCGTGTGCTGTGTTGAATGAGAGTCCCCGCTCGAACGGGAGCCAGCCCCCCTCGCGGTCCGACAATTCGAACCCAGACCCGTAGCTCCTTCATCGCCTTGCTCTTCCTTGCCCTCCAGGATTCCTCCTCCCAGACTCCCGACGCCATTACTCTGTCACAACGTCCAACCCCAGAGGTCTCGACCCTCTCCCCGGGACCGGCTTCTCATCCTGAGTCGTCTTCGACGGCTCCGGGGCCTGGCAGGGGCTCCAGAGGCCGCGAAGAGCGAATAAAACTGCCCGCCGTGACCTCGTCGTGACTCGCGGGGGTCCGGGCATTCCTCCCCTGGGCTTGAGCGTGTGCCTCTCTGTCCTCATTGGCTCACCGCCCCCCGGCCCCCCCCGCGGCGGCCAGCACCCTCGCGACCGCAGGCCTGCCGGTCGGGGGGGGGGGCCTGGGCATGCGGCCCCCCCGCGGCGAGGCCCCGCTCCGGCCGCTGTGCGCGGGCAGCCGCGCGCCCGTGGGCGCGGAGTCGCTGTGGCGCGACCGCCCGGTGGCTGCGCTGGCCATCCGGCGTCCAGGCTGACTCTCAGAGGAGAAGCAGGTATCCGAACCGCTACCCTTCCCTCGTTTTCGTATGTGTGAGCCTCCTCGGAGGCCCTCGTTGCCACCGCTGGATTCGCCTCGAGGTTCCGGTCAGAACCTGCCCCAGGAAAGCTCCGGGGAGTGGTGGTATCGGTACCGGTTGGTTCCCCCAGACTCAGCTACACGTGGTCTGCACGTGAGAGTGGCCTTTCGCCAGAGTGACCGTTGGTGCGGGCACACCAGGGTCCTCATATGGCTGAGCGCGAGGCGACAGCAGCCGCTTGTGCGCTCGGGCTTGGTCCTCCCGTGGCCCCCGAAAGTCGCGCACCAAGCGGAGGTCACTCTTGCCGAGGGACACTCTTGCGTGTAGCCGACAGGTTGACCCGTATGCCGGGCCGAGGCCCATGGCATCTCGAAGACGAAAAAATCGCATAAGCATAAACTTTCGGAGATCCGCGCGGATTTCTTGGATCTGCGCTGGGCCCCCCCTGGCGGCGCCTCTGGCACCGCCCCTGGCGCGCTTCGCGCGCCAGGGAGGGGGTGTCTTCGTGCAGACTCAGAAAATCCGCGTGGACCTCCGAAAGTTTCAGTTTATGCAATTTTTTCTTCCTCGAGCATCCACACACTGAAACCGCAGCTGGACGAGCTTGGTGTCAGGCTCGTGTGCCTCGTGAAGGAGGACATACCGTCGGAGATCCAGGCCTTCAGGAAGATGGTCTGGCCGGAGTCCGAGATCTTCGTCGACATCGAATACGAGTTTTACACGGCGCTAGGCGGTGGCGCGCTGCCAAAGACCTCCGGGTGCGGCCTGCTGCCCCAGCTGTTCTGCCGTGGCAACACCAGCAGGCTGACCAGCAACTACAGGAACGCCGTGAAGGCCGGCTTCGGCGGCAACCTGCATGGCGAGGGGCTGATCCGCGGCGGCGCGTTCGTCTTCCGCCGGGGCGGGGACGTCGAGTACACCTACGCGGAGGAGGACCTCGGCGACGTCGTGTCCCCCTCGGAGATCCTGGCCGCGGCCCGGAGCGCCTGCCGCGCGGGTGTCGCTGCGGCCGCGGAGGCGCCGGCGGCAGCGCCGACAGCGGCCGCGCGCTGTGCGCGGTGGTGCGCACCGTGCGCGCCGCCCGCGCCGCGGCGGCAGTCGCCGGGCCGCTCGGAGGCGGCGCGAGGCT